ATAATTGTCTAGTTTTAATTGGTGCAGTATTTATGATATCATAGTAAAACCCAGCCATTCATTTCCAGCTTTAATCATCACATTGGAGGAAAGGGAACGCCTGGCTCAGTCCTTTTTTTTGCAGGTAATAAGAAGGCATGTTTCCTTCCACTAACAAAAGCATTAGAAAGGATTTAGGAGTGGCTATTCAGATTTCTATACCACCCTCAGTAAATCCCCAGACATGCCTCATGTAGTCGGAGATATTAAGAGGCGTACATTAATTGATGTCCTCATTATATTGTAATACATCACATGAATATGTGATGATGTAAAAATGGAATAAGCACTTTCCTAAGGTGCTCTTTTGGCCCTCAAGAAGAAATGAATTACTTCTCTATTGGTGGTGAAGATTCATGATGAATATTTCATCACTATGCCAGGGAATTCTCACAATTGCAGTTAATGACAAAGCGTGCCATCTGCCAGAGCAACAGGTCATTTAAGGAATTCATCATAATGTGGTGTCAGAGACGTGAACAGAGAAAGATATAGGAACAGGCGGCAGACAATACCCAAATGTCTGGTCGTCTGTTTTCTAAAAATAAGCAAGTCGTTTATTTTCTGGGATAAGTGTGTTGTCTCATCGCTCTACAGGGTGAATTAACTTCAAATCAATGAATAAAACATTCAAGACTAAGCCGTCACATTATTGAAATGTTTTACACCACGGTGACATTATAACCTTCCTCTACAGACAGGCATTAAACCCTTGGTTCACGTAAAGACTGGAGTGAGGTACAGTCTGACCGGAGCAAGGACAAATTAGTGTCAGGGAAGTGGACTGAGCCAGAGCAGGTGCTCACGGTGAATGTAAATTGCGGTAAAGCATTTTACTATGAAATATTCATGAATTACTGCGCATTACAGACCATGATGCACCCCAATGTCTAATTGCCAATTATACCTGCAGCTCACAGTTCACAATGGGGAAAATGATAATGAGACGAAATGACAAAAACTGCAGAAATGTGTGTGTTGTGCCAACTTCTCAACTAAAAGCATAATAATAATAATAACAAACACGTTTTGAAGGAAAGTTAATGGATCTCTGACATTAGGAGATAAGTGAAGAAGGTGACCTCAAGAGGAACATAATAGAGAACATCCATATAGGAAAAATCATCAGTGGAGATTAAGGGATCTGTCAATAATGCTGACATCTTAAGGGCCTGTTTTATGGTGGTAAACAAGGAAAACACACATCCTCTGCTGTCAGCACGTGCCCTTTTTTATATCGAGGTCTCCTCTACACACTGCACTCTCTGATTACTCCTCTGCTGATGATACGTACACTTTACAATTTCCTGTTGTTTATCATAATGTATTGACTTTGGAAATATGTATCTAGAACAAATATTCACTGAGGATATTCAGCTGAGAATAAACATATAAACAAAGACTGTCATCTTTCCACAGGGTAAAAACAGATTTTTTTCAACCCAGTTGGAAACAAAAACACAGAAATGTGAAATATGTGGTGTTCTTTGGACGGCAGCTATATATTGAATGCATTATTTTCAGGGTTTTAATTCCTTCCTTATCTCCATATTGTAATTGCACTCTAGTTTGTCTTCCCTTTATAACATCTCTATCTGTTGCTCTTCCTCAGGTTTCTCCTTGGGGATTTCACTTTATTCATGATTGTGATTTGGGGCTATATAAATAAAACTGACTAGACTTAATTCTCCACTGACTGCGAGCTCAGATGTGAATATAATGCTGTAATAAACTAAATACTCTAACAAACCCCGGAGAAGGTAAGAGATATACAAAACAATAGGTATCTGACACGTGGGGGGGGGGGGGGGGGGGGGGGGGGGGTGTTTATGATTCTGATCACATCAATTCTGTCTGTGAGACGACCTCAAAGTTTCTGAAACACAAGGTTCTTCAGTCAATTACAAAAGCAATCAATAAGCTCAAATGAATCTTTGACAGTAAGCTGTTTTGATTTCGGGGCCATTGATGAGATTTCTGGAACTTGTCTCTGCTCTGATGGTTTTAGAGATTGCATTTGCCATGCAGGGAAAATGTACTTGTTTTAAAATGCGACCTGTGTTACCTGTGTAAACATGAATGTCATTGCAAGTAACTAGTCAAACATCTCCACACTAACATGGACACAATAATGAATGTTACAGTGCTTTTAATGGAATAGGAACTTGCTTCTGTTGCTTCTTGTATGTTTAACACTAAGCTAGTATTGTTGCTTTTGGGAAAACTCAATTAAATTAAGACCTTCCAAACTCAGTGAGCAACCAGTCAACCGAATCACTCCGGTAGACGTTTGCCTTGCAGAACAATTCAGTTAAAATAAGTTCCATCGGAATAATTAAATACAAAAAAGGGCTTAAATCCCAACGCAGTTCAGAGCTGTCCATGTCTACACGTGTGTATGTTTCCAACATGTTTCTGTAGCCTCTAAAAATTCTATAATCCATATTTTGTCATGTGGTACCACTGGTCTGCAAAGGTCACTGTCACCATGGAAACATGACTTATAGTTAGCCTGAGACTTCAGTCAGATTTTTATGAAACTGCATTATAGTCATAATTTTTCTTTTTTTCCATTTTCACGTTCATTTGACCGATGACAGTGTAGAAATGGGAGCAAGAGAGAACAAAAAAGAGAAATGCGTTTTGCCACAAATGTCTCATGGCAAGTATCGAACCTGTGGTAGCACACCCTTTAACCACTCAGATTATAATAATCTTAAAGCAACACTGAGGCTGATCTAACACTACAAACGAGGATATGTTTGTGAATCCAGCCCCAGGCAACACACACTCAAGGGTGAATGTAATCTTTCAATTTCTCCAAATCCCCAAAAAGTAAAACCAAATCTCCAACTTTAATCTTTTGTTCTCCACATTCCCATTTAAATAATGTACAATAGGTGTAGGATATTTCATATGTAGGTTTGCAACTGCAGTGAGTGACTCTGCTGCTTTACACCTCCTGTGGTGTCAGTTCATTTTTTGCGCTGTTTGTCTGGGCCCATGTCAGACGGAGGGCATACATCCTTGCAATATAGAAGAGCCCTCCCCAGAGGCTTCATTTGATGATGATGATATGACGGATGTCAGGACGGGGGTGCTCTCTGACAGTGACAGCCCTCAGGCCTGAATGGCTCCATTTACACCCTGCCAGGCATATATTAGCCTTCTACTTATAGTTACTCTCCTATATTAGGGTGTGCATCTATATCATTGAGTTTGAGACTTGATTCCAACATGGGATTTGCAGACGTCGAGCTGCATTACTTACATTACTTATTTTTGCCTTTTACAAACAGCACATTTTACTGCCTTGGGGCATAAAATATCCTGTGTGTTTCCACAGTTTCAAAGACTTTGTGAAAATCATTAAAGTCTCAGAAACATATCCATGTTGTGGAGAATCTGGGAGAGAACAAAGCCTGTTATTCAGGTTTTAAGTTGTTCTTGTGCGAATACAGAGCCAGCAGGAGGCTCAGGTGCAGCAGAGAGAGACAATCCCTTCACATTCAGACGGGAATAGACCTGTCAGTCCTGTAAACCCTTGAAGAACCAACCAGTGGAACCACATGCATGCTCTCTCGGCACGCAGCGCACTTATCTGGTGTGAAGCAGGGTGGAATGATACTAACACTGCATCATCCTGCGAGATGCAGCCATTCTCATCGGGTAATGTTTGTTTGTGTTTTCCGAGGGTTTGCCCACACTGAACATTCATCACATTTCAGTGAGTCATGCAACCGCCTCTGAGCAACAACAAAAAAGAGGATGTGTGCTGCTTCGTTTTGGCTTTGAATAACACAAACGTGTGTGCTGCCTGTAACCCATTGGGGTTGACTTTATTCTAGAAAAAAAAATATTTCATGAGTAAATTCAGATTTCCTCTTCTATCCATTGTTGGTTTTTAGAATATATAAGGGGGTTGATCCCCTTTAAATCCCTGGCATTCACAGCATTTCTATACAAAATATCCTCATGTAGGAAATATGTTAATATTTGCTCAACCTGCATGCATGACAATTGCTTCTTCTTCTTCTGCAGTCTGTTCAATGTAAATTGCTACGCTAATGTTCTCACTAATGATATCTCACACTGATAAGCTCCAATTCAGTGCTTTAAATGGTTATATATTTTGGGAAAAACTCATATTCTTAATTTTAGAATGAGATGAAAAGATTGATATCACCCCCTATCAATCTCTCCATCTTATTCTGCAGCAAAAAAAGAAAAATGGTATCTCCAAAAATGTTGAACAACGTATTTAGCCTGGTTAATTGTTAATCTGTTAATCAAGCCTTCCAACATTTACTCACTATCCCCCCCCCCCCTGCAATGTGACACTTCCATTTCTGCCCCCTGTTTTATGTTTTTTTCCTTATATGTTTCTTTGTTAAGCGACCTTGGGTTGATGAAAGGCGCTATATAAATTAAAGTTACTATTATTATTATTATTATTATGAATTGATTTGGTTGATGGGGGCTCCCTTTATCCAAGTCTCTCAAAACCAAGTCTCTCTTTTTTTTATAAACTATAGCTGATTATAAGCTCCCTGGTACCAAGTCGCCTGAGGCTTATCATTACATTTTTCAGTATGAGTCGTCGGTCCCTCACCTTCCATTTGTGCCTCACTTGTTGCGATAATTGTCACTTTTATGTAAACATGAAGGCTTTTATATCTTCCCAAATTTACTTTTTAATCGTATTAACATTGACCATACAGTCTGCAATAGTGCAGAAAATGAAGATAATCTCATTACAGTTTGGAAACGGTCAATCTTCTCCGCTGTGAGAAAGACACGCAGCATGTGTGTGTGCGTGTGCGTGTGCGTGTGTGCGTGTGCATGTGTGTGTGTGCGTGTGTGTGTGTGTGTGCGTGTGTGTTTCTGCCAAATGAGACTGGAGCAGACAGCAGAGAGAGAGGATCGCTGCCTCGTGTCTGTATCAGATGAGGGGGGGGGGGGTCACTAGGATTCCCTTGAAGCTGCTTTCCAGGGAAAAAATAAATGTTACAATCTTTTCTTTGCACCTCGTTTAACGGATAGCAGCCTATCATCTCGTCAGTGCTGTCGTTTTACCTTGTAACATCCAGTCACTGGTTCTTAAAGAAGATGCCGAAACGGGGAAGTAAAGTGAGGGAGATTGTGTCGGAAGTAGACAGTTTGGAAGAACAACACGCGTTGTAGGATTCAGTGAAACCAGCAGCGAAAAGGTAGATTTACTGCGGATATTTTTTAATTCATCATCTTTCTGTTTTTATTGCAGGAGCTACATGTGGATAGAAACATGACAAAGTAGCACGTGCATCTATCGGATCGCATCCAATGCTTATTACATATCATACAATCGTCATCAGGCTGTGAAGTAAAAGTTTTATATGTATTTTTCATGCTTCACATCTTGCTTGCAGTAACCTGCTACAGGCTATGCATTGAAACCAAAGGCGATTTACAAGCTGCATTCTTGGAGAAACGCGCAAGGTGATTTTAGTATTATCGAGAAGAAAAAAAACACGACGAGGGGTTGAACTTTGCGGAGGTTTTCCTGAGAATTTGTGCATATCAAGGTCGGTAGCAAAGGGTCTGTCTCTAAACTCCGGATAGGATATATGAAGATCGCGACCCAGTTGGTTTTCCCTCGCAGAAATGCCTGTGCGTGCTGTGACCACGAGGTTCATGTACAAGGGACTTTGCACTATTCCAGATGTCCTCTCCTACCGGACCCCTGTTATCCTGCCTGAGGATGAGGTGGAAGGTGAGCACTGTTTTTTGTTTTCTTTGCTTGGTTGCATGTTTTACTGTCATGTTTTAAGAGCTGTTGTATCTAAGTGCAACGTCCAGCTCGCAAACCATTACAGGACCCTGGAGAGCTCCAGCCGATGTGCGCTCCTTTTCCACATCTACAAATCTGAATGGACACTAAACTGTGGGTCTGCTTGTAAAAAAGGTCAATAGTAAAGATATTGTTAACGAGGTTTAGAGTTTAAATGTTCCACAATATCTGGGAAACAAAGACAATCTGCATGCTATGTTCACCTTTTTAACCCCTTATCTTGTCTTTCTTTTGGTTCATGTTCTTGCTTCTGATATTTGGCAAAAAGACAAACAAATACAACATTCATCTCTTTTCTCCTTATTTTGCATCAATACAAAAGACACTACGATAGTTACAATAAACAGCACATAAATAGTTATGATTTCCAAGGACATACAACACATGCCAAGGTCTCCATACATTGTAATTAACTTGTGAGTAAACTTAATATTTTTATACAATGCTGTATCGCCTTACTATATCCATGGCAACTGTGTGACTTAATTGCAAAGGGATACACTTGTTTTAGGCAATTGTTTTAATCCAAGAGAAAAGACCTTCAGACTCAAGGAGACAAGTCTTGAAATTTGAGGCGGAATGAAGAAACAGGATGTGATGAATGGCAAACTTATAACTATAAAAATGCAGATTGCAACACCTTTTCCAGGAAATCTATGACACATAGATCTTCTTAAGATGTGAGATACATTTATTTTGACTCAGATTAAATCTCTTGTAAGACGTTTTGAATTGTAGGAAAAAACAACTACCCATAGCACAGTGCTGTTCTTAGGCTATCTAAAATATTAATTAGAACATTCTGATTGTTTTTGCTACATTAATCGAAGTGCAAAGCTGTTCAAGCGAAGGTTTTGTTTTGGCAAATGGTCCTCACAATGAGAAAGCACAGCTGGCGTTGATGTGGTGCGAAGCCAGGCAGAGTACAATAAAGAGATAACTCAGATCAGATTTGATATCCCCATGTCTTTTATGCAAAGGGGATTCCATTTCCTCTTCTTCTGTGAGCAGGTTGCACAGACCCACAAGTGGCTGGCTGCCCTTCCATAAGACACTCATTTGACATTGAAAAAACCACTGTCTGTCATGACCACATTAATTCAATTAAAAGGTTGGCTGTGGAAGAACAAGAATTGAGAGAACAAGTCAAACAGACTGTTGTGTGTTGCATGCAGGTAATGGACATATTTTCAAACTGTAGCTTACTAATTGAGAGCCATTAAATATTCAGAAAGGCACGGAGACAGACCATTCAACCGTGAATGTCTATACCCAGGGAGGATTCACTGAGCACATAATGCACTGCTGCATTTACATGGCCTCACACCTCAGCAGGGTAAACAGCCCTTGCTTCTTGTCATTGAGCAGCTCCACCGTGCAGCGTGTTGAAGAGCACTCTGTAATTGTTGGGCGATGAATGAGACTTTCAGATGAGCTTCTTTCTTTTTACAGATCCTCAGACAGACTGAATCAGCAACCTCCCACACACTGAGTGACTTCCCTTTACACTACTGCTCCACCTTATCACACAGCATGAGGCTGCTGTTGTTTGTCTGTCAACAACACTGCAGTCCACTGTTTCTCAGAGAGCATTCCTCTCTCAGAGGTCTGCAAACCAGCCAATAAATACTCTTTCATCCCCCAAATCTGTAATTACTGCAGGGCAGAAGTTCCCTAATTGCTCAACGCATGTAATTACTCTCCCTAATCATGTTTATGATAATAGCTTTTTTCCTAGCAAGGTGTATGTATATGTATATACGCAATACAGTGTAATTGTGGACAGCTTAGAAACAGACACATCGCTGAACTGCTACATAATATGCTTTGAGCGATGACACCACAAATGAGTACAGTATTCATTTTGACTTTATAGATCCAGACAAGATCAATTATTCCCACACATTAAATCCAAATGACTGCAGTTCTACAATAATGTAAGATTTAAGTTATTATTGTCTGGTCCCAATTCCCTAACTTTTGTTTTGAAACATCATTTTGGTTTTACCCTCAAATACAGTTTGATATTTACTTTTACCTGAATCATTTTACCTGCAACATGTCTTAATATGTCGGTTCAAATAAACTCTGACATCTTTTGATATCCATCTCACAGTCATAATTATAGAGACACATTTTCTAAGAATAGACTATAAAACCTTCTATGAAATTCAGCACAAATCTCTGTGGCGTCTGTGATTAAATCAACAGGGCTGACACTTGGTGACTTTGTTGCAGAGACTTGTGGTCTTGCATTTTACTGCCCACTGACACAAACAACACGCAAGGACAAAGGGACCTTGTGACTGTGCAAAGAGACACACCACAGACAGTACGTGAAACACACTGCCGTCGTTAAACAGACTAAATACTTTCAGTTTCAGCATCAGGGGTAATTGTGAAGAATGACAAATCATACCGAAAGTTATAGAAATATAATGAGCTGCTCAAAATACATTGGTGTTGAAGGTGCTGCATATCTAAGGATTCAAAGCTTTAGTGGTATAAGTGAATATGAAATACATTACAGGTTGATTTAAGGGTGACTTAAATTAGCCACATTTAAACAACGGTGAACAGAGTAGAGGTGAGAGATTCAAGCAAACAAACACACATCCCACTTTTACTAAAAAAAAGCATTGTTACCAAACACAAGCATCTTGAGGCCATTAACAGCATCATCAGACACTTCTATCTGCGGCAGTTTCTCAAAAAGGCTGTGTCCGTAACACTCTTTTTCTGCAAGACATCAGTCCCTCAATCAAAGACTTATGAGATATGTTTTTGTAAGATTTAAAAAAGCAATCCTGACGATTTAAAGTGAAAGAAGCCGTGAATTGCAGAATAGAAAACAAAGGGAAGCACTTGTCATATCAAAATAGATCAACAACAGAGAATAATTCACTGGCACATTAAATAAGTATTGTCTTATCACAAAGTATTTTGCAACCAGCGTGATTCAAATGTCATCACAATTAAATGGAATAATTATTAATCAACCGATAAACCTGGATAATTATTCCAGTAGCATGCTCCAGACTCCATAGCGACTATCTGTAAATCTAACTGTGATCTTTAACCTGACATTTTATGTGCATCACAATCATTTCTGCAATATTTGCTGTGTTCACCATAACCATATTGGACATCGGCTACAATATATATAGAAATCTCTCAGGGTGACAGGCACTTGCGCTGGACGGAGAGACTATTATTTATCCTGGCTGAGCTTTAGGGAGGCTGGATAAGTACTCACAGCTCTTAATGGAGCTGCGGTTTCCAGGCAATGTTTTTTGAGCAGATGGTTGTCTGGGTGGGCAGGTTAGTGGCACGGCTTCCTGCTCTGTTCTCTGTCCTTGTGTCATGCAGTTATCATAAACCCTGATATTGATTCAAACTACTGCCTCTTCCAACAGTGCATATGCGTACACATTTGAGCTGTTTAAAGGTCCCCTATTATACTGTTTTTCCTCAATATATTATAGTTCTCAGATATATACAAAACATGTCTCTGAAGTGTTTGGCTCCAAATACCAAGCAGATCACCCATTGTAGCATCCCATAATCCCCTCTGTTTCAGCCCTGTTTCCAAAGTGCTGATTCTCTGGCTGTTACTTTAGATGAAAATAAGGAGCCACTCCCCACGCGCCTCTGAGAGATATTTGGGTACAATGGTGCTCTAGGACAGGGGTTCCCAAACTTTTCAGCCCGCGACCCCCAAAATAACAGTGCCAGAGACTGGCGACCCCGTATTTTATGAACATTTATCCATGCTGAAAGTAGATTTAGATGTTTTAAGAGTGAGATAGAGATTATTATCTAATATATGCATCCAATGAAGCATTGCATGAAGTCTGTTGATGATCAGAGGCTGTTGTTCGGGCTGCATAAACGTTTTTTATTATTGGTTAAGTGGTCCTTGGTATGAAAAAGTTTGAGAAACACTGCAGTGGATTGTCAACGGGGGAAGCCTCGCTGCGAGGAAATTATACAGATGGCCAGTCCACCCCTGAAAAATGTCTATGCACACGTTATTATTAAAGGTGGGGTAGGTAATTTTGGAGAAACCAGCTCAAGTGCGCTAGAATTTGAAATCTGCCACAGGTAGGCCATCCAGTTATTTTAGCCGGGCCGGCTAAATAACTGTATCTATGAGGAGATTCAGGTGATAAGGTGGGGGGTGGGGGGGTTACCTTGGTTGGTTATTGGCTAATGGTTACACAACCCAAAAAAACATTATGACAAAATCTGATCAGCTCATTTTCAGACAGGTTCTTATAAATGATGGATCAGGAGAAAAAGTGAGCCAATCTTTTTTCCTGAAACTTTCAGAATCTCTTTACACAGAGGGGACACATGTGTATGTATAAAAGATGTGGAAAAAGTGGATTTTGCATAATAGGTGATCTTTAAATCTCACATCCAGCCTCTTTTCTGGTGTATTCACAGTTTTTATACCATTTGATAACTCAGTAAAAAGGAAAATCCCTTTTTCTCCCTTAACGATACTTATTTATGCCTTTGACATAACAGTAATCTCTATAATATTCATGTTCAATACATCCATTTAATATTTGTGTGTGTATTTACCCTGACCGTTACACTCACTGAGCACGTTTTTTTAAATGTCTATGAGGACATTATGCTGTGCCAAGTGTGTCCCCATTTAATGAGCAATATTAAAAACAACAAGGCCCAAAGCCAAGTGTAGCCATTTATGCTTGAACGGCTGGGATAATTGAAAATATATCTGATAAAGTCTTTTTTTGTACATTTCCGTTTGATGGGCAGCTGCTGTCCACTCCAGTGAATGTGCTAAACTCTATGTTCTGCCTATATGCCTTTATTTACATTCACTCACTTTGTATGTTAGATTACCAATGATAATTTCATTTATGCTATTACATAGTATTCCAAATCTA